CTATAGTAAGAAGATGAGTCCACGAGGATATCCATCCAGGACTCATGATCCAGGACCACAGCAACAGGATCAGCCATGACTCCGGATCCCAGCGTAGATAGACACCAAAAAGAAATTTGGGGAAGCTGGGTTATTCGGAACATGAGAGTACACAGGTATAGACAGAGAGAAAGAAGAAGTAAGGTGTCCCCCGACAAACTAAGCCTATAGCAGCAAAACTAGGGGCTGAATCTAATCAGCCCTAACAATAAGCTTTATCAAAAAGGAAGGTCTTAAGCGCACTCTTAAAAACGGATAGGGTGTCTGCCGCCCGAACACAAACTGGAAGCTGATTCCACAAAAGTGGAGCTTGATAAGAAAAGGCTCTGGCTCCCATTGTACTTTTAGAGACTCTAAGAACAACCAACAACCCTGCATTCTTGGAACGCAATGCCCTAGTAGGACAGTAGGGTATAATGAGTTCTTTAAGGTAAGATGGCGCCTGCCCATTAAGGGCTTTGTAGGCGAGAAGAATAATTTTAAATGATATCCTGTGTTCTATAGGGAGCCATTGTAAGGCAGCCAGAACAGGAGTAATGTGGTCCCTTTTCCTAACTCTGGTTAGTACACGAGCTGCAGCATTTTGAATCAGCTGAATTGACTTAACTGACTTCTTGGTACACCCTGATAATAAAGAGTTACAATAATCCAGCCTTGAAATAACAAATGCATGGACTAGTTTCTCTGCATCGTTTTGAGGCAAGATATGCCTGATTTTTGCAATGTTACGTAGATGAAAGAAGGCGGTCCTTGAGATTGATTTAATGTGGGCGTTAAAGGATAAATCCTGATCAAATATAACACCAAGGATCCTTACAGTCTCACTGGAGGCCAAATGAATGCCATCCATAGTTAGTATATCTTTAGATAATTTGTTTCGTAGATTCTTTGGGCCGAGTACAATAACTTCAGTTTTGGTCGTGTTTAACATCAAAAAGTTTAAAGTCATCCACGCTTTTAAGTCATTGAGGCAGTCTTGAATTTTGTTTTATTGTTGATGTATAGGCTACTGCCTGAATATGCTGAATGAAAGGCAGGTTTTTACTACTAAATACAATCATTTTTTTACACTAAATATCTTGGTTACTTATTTTCTAAGGTTACATTATTCTGTTGTCTTACATACACTTCTTACAAAAAACATATTTTCTCACGTATTTATTTGCATTGCATTTGATATTGAGGTATTAAAAAAGTGACAGAAAGTTGCATTACTTTTATATTGCGATGCTCCGATTAGGTTACTGATTGTATATTTTTACAGGTAACTAGTAGTTGTAACAGAAGACATAAATAAATTAAAAAAACTCCCAACCCTGCCAGGACATGACCTCAGTGTTTTCCGATGTTCCTGTAAGTGTGTTTATTAGATTGAAATAGAACACCTCACATGCATGCAGTGTGAAATAGCCAGGGACTATACGATAGTGGTTATGCCCTTCATGTGTTTAGGGAAGATATAGTACCATTGCAATTTGGTCACATTGTTTTGTGCAACAAAGTAAGTAGCAGCATTGTCAGTGAGGAGGAAGCTTTTCCTGAGTCAGACCACACATACAACACACTGAGAGTTAAATACAAACAGTGGTTATTAGCTAACAGTGTCCCCACAGTCAGTGCATTTCTATTCCATGCTCAACGTCCAACACAGGTCTCTTCTCTGGCGTGAAGTCCCTGTCTGTCCTCTCCACGTAGCGCTGCAGGGTGCTGTAATACTGCTCGCTCCTGGAGAAGGTGTGCAGTGCAGAGATCTCCTCCCAGGCCCTGTGATTGGGGAAAGGGAACGGAGCAGGGTCGTTGTTCCCGAAGAAGCTATGCAGGTTTCTTTCGGCCAGTTTGTTTGCGTAATCCGCAGCAAAGGTATCGAAGCACTCCTTCTCTTTCTCCACATAGCGTTTCCAGAATGTGAGCTGCAGGTAGCTGACTTTGGAGCGACAGTTTGTGTAGCAGGTACCCAGAAGGCCCACGAATGCAGCAATTATGATGATGCACCAACCGAGGATCTGTAGACAGAGATAAAAAATGCACACTTAACACTATGAAATCAATACAAAATACATGACAAATAGTTCCACTTCTAACATCACCTTAGATTGTGTCTCTTCTGTGACAATTTTCCATGCTTTAATTTTCAAAAAGGTCTTTATTTTTCTCATACTGCCTGTGCTGCAGCCCCTCTTTTCACCCTCTGTCTGAAACCAGAGCCCGGTCTGCTATGATTGGTGATTGGTCTGTTGTGATTGGTCTGTTGTGATTGGTCAACCGCTTAAAGGTGTCCCGTCCCTTAGCCTTTCACATACAATGTGTTGGAGTGCTAGCTAATGGAAGCACGATTGTAACATAGTGAAATCACTATGTTACGGAAGTAAAAAAAGGAGTCCAATGGAGGCGTTTCAGTGAGGGGGGGGCTGGTATGTGGGAGAGAAACCCCCTACAATAATGAATACATTTGAAACATTCTCTATGTATATAACCAACATGTCAATACGTTTTTGTAGTGTATTGGTCTTTTGTAGAGATTTTTCATTTGTTCTTTATATAATCTATTGTGTATTGCTTGGAGGGGGGGCACCAAATCATAATCTCAGCTAGGGCACCGAAATGTCTCAACATCTGCTTCCAGTTTGAGCCTCACGCATCAGCTTCCCCTATCGGCCTCCCCTATGATGTCATAGCAATATCATCATCAGGGTGATCTCTGTAGGGGCTACAGCCAGTGTATTGAGCTTGATTCAGGCAGCTACTGGCAGCCAGTGAAGGGAGCGGAGTAGGTGTAGTTTGGGAGAAACTGTGGGAAAACGAGTTGAGCTGCTGTACTCTGAATTAGCTGCAGAGGTCTGATGGTCCCTTGCAGGTAGACCAGCCAGGCGGGAGTTGCAGTAGTCAAGTTATGTGTGTGTGTGTGTGTGTGTGTGTGTGTGTGTGTGTGTGTGTGTGTGTGTGTGTGTGTGTGTGTGTGTGTGTGTTTCTCACCTGTGACTGGGCTCGGAACATGAGCAGCAGCTCCATCCGCTCATCAGCAG